CTCGTTCTATTGCACTTCGCGTTAGTGTGCTTTGCAGACATCTCGCTTTTTACAAACTGAAGGTTTGTGGCAGCCGTGCGTTGAGCAAGTCTATTGGCACCATTCTTGCAACAGCGTGTGCTCACTTCATGTCTCTGTGTCACATTTGGTAATTCCTGCTATATTTCAAATGTTTTCATTATTATTTTACCGGTTACAGTGATCTGTGACCAGTGATCTTTGATGTTACTATTGTAATTGTTTTGGGGTGCCACAAACCGTGCCCATATGACGGTGAACTTCATCAGTCCCTCTCCTCAGGCCTCCCTGTTCCCTGAGACTCAACAATACTGAAATTAGGCCAGCTAATAACCCTATAATGGCCAGTAAGTGTTCAAGTGCAAGAAGGAGTCTCACATCTCTCAATTTAAATCAAAAGCTAGAAATAATTAAACTTAATGGGGAAGGCATGTTGAAACCTGAGATAGGCCGAAATCTGGGCCTCTTGCGCAAAACAGCCAAATTGTGAGTCCAAAGGAAAAGTTCTTGAAGGAAATTAAAAGTGCTACTCCAGTGAACATGTGAAAAGCAAGTGAAACAGCCTTATTGCTGATATGGAGAAAGTTTTAGTGAACTGGGGAGAAGATCAAACCAGCCACAACATTCCCTTAAGCCAAAGCCTAATCCAGAGCAAGGCCCTACCTCTCTTCAATTCTGTGAAGGCTGAGAGAGGTGAGGAAGCTGCCGAAGAAAAGTTTGAAGCTCGCAGAGGTTGGTTCATGAGGTTTAAGGAAAGAAGCCGTCTCCATAACATAAAAGTGCAAGGTGAAGCAGCAAGTGCTGATGTAGAAGCTGCAGCAAGTTATCCAGAGGTTCTAGCTAAGATAATGGATGAAGGTGTCTACACTAAACAACAGATTTTCAATATAAATGAAACAGCCTTATACTGGAAGAAGATGCCATCCAGGACTTTCATAGCTAGAGAGGAGAAGTCAGTGCCTGGCTTCAAAGCTTCAAAGGACAGGCTGACTCTCTTGTTAGGGGCTAATGCAGCTGGTGACTTGAAGTTGAAGCCAATGCTCATTTACCATTCTGAAAATCCTAGGGCCCTTAAGAATTTATGCTAAATCTACTCTGCCTCTATAAATGCAACAACAAACCCTGGATGACAGGACATCTGTTTAAAACCTGGTTTACTGAATATTTTAATCCCACTATTGAGACCTACTGCTCAGAAAAGAAGATTCAAAATCTTATTGCCATTGACAATGCATCTGGTCCCCAAAGAGCTTGGAGAAGTATAAGGAGCTTAATGCTGTTTTCATGCCTGCTAACACAACATCCATTCTGCAACCCATGGATCAAAGAGTGATATAAAAAAAAAAAAATTTTTTTAAATTGTACTTTAGGTGAAGGTTTACAGAACAAATAGTATCTCATTAAACAGTCAGTACACATATTGTTTTATGACATGGGTTAACAACCCCACGACATGTCAACACTCTCCCTTCTCGACCTTGGAGGACCTTTTTTTCTTTTTGGTGAAAATATACATAGCCAAAGTTACACCATTTCAAAAATTTCTACTTGTACAATTCAGTGACATCAATTCCGTTCTTCCAGTTGTGCTGCTATCCTCACTTTACATGAAGGTTTACAGAACAAAATAGTTTCTCCTTAAACAGTTAGTACACATATTCTCCCTATGACAATGGTTAACAACCCCACTACATGTCCGCACCGTCCTTACTTAACCTTGGGTTCCCTATCACTGGCATTCCTGTCCCCTTCTGCCTTCTAGTCCTTGTCCCTGGACTGCTGTGCCTCATTGGCCCCATTTTGCTTTATGAGGCTGTCCAATCCCTGGCTACACGGTAAACCTCGGAAGTGACTTCACCACTGAGCTAAATGGGTGTCTGGGGTCCATACTCTTGGGCTTTCTCCAGTCTCCTTTAGGCCAGTAAATCTGGTCTTTTTTTTTTTGTGAGTTAGAATTTTGTTCCACATCCTTCTCTGGCTCTGTCCAGAACCCTCTGTTGTGATCCTGGTCAGAGCAGTCAGTGGTGGTAGCTGGGCACCATCCAGCTGTACTGGATTCAGTCTGGTGGAGGCCTTGGTAGCTGTGGTCCATTAGTCCTTTGGACTAATCTCAAAGAGTGATTTTTACTTTCAAGTCTTATTATTTAATAAATACATTTTGTAAGGCTACAGCTGCCATAGATGGTGATTCCTCTGATGGATCTGGACCAAGTACATTGAAAACCTTCTGGAAAAGATTCACCATTCTAGATGCCATGAAGAACATTCATGATTCATGGGAGGTGAAAATATCAGTATTAACAGGGGTTTGGAAGAAGTTGATTCCAATCCTCATGGATGAGTTTGAGGGGTTCACGACTTCAGTGGAGGAAGTAACTGCAGATGTGGTGGAAATATCAAGAGAACTAGAAGTGGATCCTGAAGATGTGACTGAATTGCTGCAATCTCATGATAAAACTTAACGGATGAGAAGTTGCTTTTTATGGATGAGCAAAGAAAGTGGTTTTTTGAGATGGAATCTACTCCTGGTGAAGATGCAGTGAACATTGTTGAAACGACAACAAAGGATTTAGAATATAAATAAACTTAGTTGATAAAGCAGCAGCGGCAGGGTTTGAGAGAATTAACTCTAATTTTGAAAGAAGTTCTACGGTGGGTAAAATGCTATCAAACAACATCGCATGCTACAGAGAAATCTTTCGTGAAACAGAGTCAGTCAATGTGGCAAAATTCACTGTTGTCTTATTTTAAGAAATTGCCACAGCCACCCCAACCTTCATCAACCACCACCCTGATAAGTCAGCAGCCGTCAACATCCAGGCAAGACCCTCCACCAGCAAAAAGATGATTATGACTCGCTGAAGGATCAGATGATGGTTAGCTTTTTTTTTTTTTTAGCAATAAAAAGTATTTTTAAATTAAGGTATGTACATTGTTTTTTAGATACAATGCTATTGCACACTTAATAGAGCACAGTATAGTGTAAACATAACTTTTATATGCACAGGGAAACCCAAAAATCTGTGTGACTTGCTTTATTATGATATTCACTTTATTGCGTTGGTCTGGAACTGAATCTGCAGTATCTCTGAGGTATCCCTCTATGTCTTTAGACACATGAATTGGAAAAATTCCTGAAAGTGAAATTTGCCCTCTAAAGAAATTGCAACAGTTCACATCCTCCCCGCCCCCTCGGTCCCTGAACAGTGAGTTACCACACTTGGATTCAACATTTATTGTTCATCTGCTGTGTGGGACACTCTAAGGTGTGGACAGAAGACAACACCAGACAGGCTCATCTTTTCTCAATCAATATTATAACCTAAGAATTTCCAATGCTCTGAAAAATTCTCCACAGATGCAGTCTTTGATGGCTAAGGAACATTACATCCTGGCTGTACCAAAATATTTTGAAGCAGCCTCCTGTAGCTAGACATTGAAGCTGTTTACAGTTTATGTCACCAACAATGCTGAGACAAGTGTCCTACAACTTGGTGTCCATCTCACCCTGCTCTCTGTGGCTCTGATATATGAGAAGTTACATTTTGTTTGAACTTGACACTACAGTGATTTTTTTTTCTTTCCCGGATTTTGAAGGCTAAACATTCCCTGTCTTTTTGGTCGTAGTATACTAGCTGTGGTACTACAGTATAGTTATTATATAGTAACTATAGTATAGCTAGCACTTGGCTGCTAACTGAAAGGTCGGTGCCTCAAACCCAATGAACCCACCAGCAGCTCTGCAGGAGAAAAGACCTGGCAATCTGCTCCCATAAAGATTAAAGCCCAGGAAACCCTATGGGGCAGTTCTACTCTGTCCTATGTGGTCACTGTGAGTCAGAATCAACTCAACAGCACACAACAAAAACATAGTAGGTGTGCATGAAGGAAGGAAAACTTATTTGCAGATGCATTTCTGGCATTATTTCACAGATAAGCTGGGAATAGATGATTTAAATCCTGGAGTTTGTTGCAATAGTGGACAAGGGGAGAGAGGAGGAAGATGGAAAGTGATGGGGGATAAAAGAGGAAACAGGATTGGAGCTGAGAAAGAGGAAGGGAACAAAGCAAGATGGCGCCCGCTGCCAGGGCCCCTCAGCTCTGAGGCTCTGCAGTGGGTCCCAGGAGGCGCCTCGATGTGGCTTCAGCTTCTGAACAGTGTCCTCAGAGAGATCAACATGCCATTTAAACACAAGGTCCTCTGGTTATAGCACTGGAAGCACAGGTGGAGGCCAGGACTTTGGCTGAACAGTCAGGAGAGGGAACGTCATGGATTTGTGTGGGAGCGAATGAGGGTTATTACACAGGCTGGAGAAAGCGTGGGGTTTCCTGGGACCCTCCCGCTGTGGGGGGCAGGGAGCCAGAAGAGGATGAGCACCTCCATGGTCTTGCCTGGTTCTCCCATCAGGGCAGCAGACTGGCTTCGACACGGGGTCACGAGCTCCAGTTCCTGCCCTGCTCTCCCCCATCCCTCCTGCCCGGCTCTGGGCTCCGCCTGTCCCAGTCACTCGCCTGGTCAGAAGCCAGTCAGTGCAAATTGTGAGTGCAAAGTCCATGTGGCTTGGTTTTCTGTCTCTGGCCCCAAGGCCCAGGCGGTTTCTCATAAGACAGAGGGGCTGCTTCCACCCCTGCACCCCACCTCCGCAGCCAGACTGCTTCTCCAAAGACCCGGGAGCGGGCAGATGGGGAGCACAGGTACAAGGACACACCAGCACCACAGCACAGCCACAGCCTGGATGTTCCGCACGATGCCTGAGGTTTATTTTGTAGAGGCAGAGTTAGGGCTCTGTGGAAGGTACTTGGAGGTCCTAAGGGAAGGTGGCCACGGGAAGACCACATCCCACACAGCACTCCCGCACCCCAGGAGTGAGAGGGAGATGGCCCAGGGCCACAGGGCCACCAGGTCAGGCAGGGACTCAGACCTGGTGCCCGGTGGTGGTGGGGGTGAGGCAGACGGCCTTGGGGCGCTTCCTGGGGCGCTCCTACAGCCTGGCTTTGGGGGCTGGAGGCACAGGGCCCATCCACTTCTCTCCTGGATAAAGGACAACAGGCTCTGTGCACTGTCTTCAGGGTGCTCCTCCCCCCAAGACCCCGGGGGGTTCTCGGGAGAGCCCCGTTTTGCTACAAGGGGCAGCAGGGTGAAAGCTGACCTCCTCGACAGCCAGCAGCCTGCGGCAGGATGAGGCTTGGCTGTGGAGGTGCGAGGAACATCCCTCCTCTGACCCTCTGCTCAGCTAATACGATGGGGCAGGACCGGGGTCACAGGCAGCTGGGCGGTGACCTTTGACCTACCTAGCAGGTATGCCAGCAGCTCCATGCGGTCAGAGCCAAATAGCATGTGGGTCTGGCTATCCACATGAGCCACCGTGATAGGCAGCCCGAAGGCCTGGAGAGCAGAGGGGGCAGAGGGAGGATGATTACTGGGCTGGGGGTGAGGCTGGGAACCAGCACTTCCACGTGCACAGAAGCAGCCGGACGATTCTTGGTGTTTGGTAGGAGGTACCCTGATCTCCAGAGCCTTCCATTTCCACTGCCTTACCTCTCACCATCCAGCTCCTTCCCTTCCTCTCCTGGGGCTCAGGGAGAGCTGGGGAGGACTCCCGCTGGGGAGTGGGCACTAGGACAGAGTGTGGGGACCTAGCAGACCCTCAGCCTCTGTTCTCAGGATCAGGGTTGGGAACACAGGTAAGGGTCCCTCACCCCATAGTTGCAGGCGGCCTCGGTGGTCTCCTTGAGCTGGTTCTTCACCTTTGGTGTGGAGATCTTTCCCAGAATTTCTTGGGCTTGCTCTGCAGACATCCCGGCCTTCTCTGCAGCCTAAGGGGGTACAGTGAGGGACACACCGTGTCTGTATTAGTGGGGGCGGACCGCAGGAGGACAATCTGGTCTTTCTATTTTCTGCCCCTAAGTCTTTCTTGCAATGCCTTTACCCGTCCATGATGCCAAGGTCTATCGTTCCCAAGAGGAGCCATGCTTCCCTTTTCCAAAGTCCCGAGAAGGGCAGGAAGAACAACATGCACTAGGGTCACAGTTGTAGCGCCACCAGGCATCTCAGGAATCAGCTAGCCTGGCCTCTTCATTTCACAGACGAGGACACTGAGGTCCAGAGAGCAAACCTGCCCAGAGTTCAGGAGCTTAGGTAGCAGAGCCAACAGCAGAAGCCATGCCCCTGAATTCAAGTCCAGGGCTTGTTCCTTCTTACGCCTCTGAATCCCTGAGTATCTTGAGTCAAGGGCTGGACTCTAATTATTATGGAATTTCCTGAGGACTTCCAAGCGGGGAGTGTGGCTGCAGCTACCTGCCCGGCTTCAGAGTAACCATAAAGGCTTCGGTTTGGGGTTTGGGGTTGTTGTTTGGGATCCTGTTGTTCCTATTAAAGCAGTGGTTCTCAAACGTGGTTGCACATTCGAATTTCCGGGGGAGGTTTTAAGGCCCAGGCCATTCCTAGAACAATTACATCAGAATTCTTGGGGGGTGGCGCCCAGGTGCTCCAGGTGAATGTAATGTGCAGCCAAGGTTGAGCAGCATTGCAACCTGACACCCCACACGGAGGGGGACCCAGAAGTCATGCAGTCTACTGTAACGGGATGCTGTCTGTTACTCAGCTATGTTAGTGGACTGTTTCCCGGAGTGAATGCTCAGCAATAGGGACATGGTTACCCAAAAAACCAAAACCTGTTGCCATCAAGTGGATTCCAACTCACAGCAACCCTATAGGACAGGGTAGAACTGCCCCAGAGGGTTTCCAACGAGTGGCTAGTGGGTTCTAACTACTAACTTTTTGGTTAGCAGCCTGAGTTCTTAACCACTACACCACCAGGTCTCCATTAACGTCACAGAGATTAGGAATTACAACACATAGGTTTAATCACATCAGATCACAAAATGGTGGACAACCACACAATATGGGAATCATGGCTTAACCAAGCTGACACATTTTTTGGGGACATAATTCAACCCATATCTACCCTTTGGCCCCCCAAAATTCATGTCCTTGACACAGGTAAAACATTTTTACCCCATCATAACATCCTGAAAGTCTTAAATCAACTCTAAATTCCATCCTGGGGCAAAATTCCTCTTCATCTGTGAAATCTAGACTAGAAGATATCTGTTTCCAAAGCACAATGGTGGGATAGGCACAAGGTAGACATTTCCATTACAAATGGGAGAAACTGGAGGGAAAGAAGCTTTAACAGGCACCAGGCAAGCCAGAAGAATACATTACATTAGCTCTCAAAGCTTGAAAATAATCCTCTGTTCTCTGAGGCCATTTAGGAAATGGCTCTGCAGTCCAGACTCTGGGTCTCGGCCACGCTCTTCAGATTCTGGATGGAGGCCCCTTAGCCCTGGGCTTCAGCTTCGCCTTCCAGGCCCAATGGGACAGCAACTCTGCTCCCTTGGCTTTGGGCGGCCCCATTCTTCTAGTCCATCTGAGTGGCAACCCCTACCCCCTTCTGCCCCCGGGCATGGCAGCCCCGCTCCCTCAGCTTTGGGCAGCGGATCCAGCTGCATCCCGTTGGCATCCGTGAACAGCAGCCCCACACTCCGGAACAGAGTTGGCGAAGATCTGACTCTGAGTCCTAGAAGGCTGTGGCCCCACACTTTGAGACTCCAGAGGCCATGGTTCCACCCTTTGAGACTGAGGCAGTTCTGCTTCCTGTGCTCCTTATCTCTTCAGCTTGTTTCCTGGTTCCTTGGCCTCTTGGGCCAGCCCGGCGCAGGCCCTGCTCAGGCAAATGTTTCAAAGCTCTTCAGCTCTACTGATAAGCGCCTGGAGGCACCCCACTCCACCAGTAAACCTCAGCTGGAAGGCATGCAGCTCCCTTGCTCCGTGGGTCGGCAAGCCTCGCTCCACCAGTAAGTGCCTGGAGGTACCTCACTCCACCAGGAAGCCTCCTACGCAAAGGCACTCAGCTCTTTCTCTGTGGGTCAGTTCCAGCAGGGACCTCATGCCACCAAGAAAGAAGTGCTGGGAATGGAACGAGTCCTTTGGACCCAAGGTCCCTGTGTTGAGGAGCTCCTAGACCAGGGGAAGATTGATGACATGGACCTCCCCTAAGAACTGACAGAGAAAGGCTTCCCCTGGAGCTGGCACCCTGAATTTGGACTTCTAGCCTCCTAGACTATGAGAGAATAACTTTCTGTTTGTTAAAGCCATCCACTTGTGGTATTTCTGTAACCAAGACAGGGGAAAAACCCACCAACGAACCAACAAAAAACACTGGAAGATACACTGACCAGTCTTTATACGTTTAACTTTTGTGGGATCTGCCATTTTATGTATTAAATTTTAATATGCCCAAACTATCTTTTGTAAAGACCACCCTGGTGGCACAAATGGTTAGATTGCTCAGCTGCTAACTGAAAGGTTGGAGGTTTGACTCTACCCAGAGGTGCCTCAGAAGAAAAGCCTGGCAGCCTGCTTCTGAAATGTTAGACATTGAAGACCCTGTGGAGCACAGTTCTACTCTGATACCCATGGGTCACCAGGAGTCGGAGTCGACTCAACGGCAACTGGTGGTGTTTGTAAGTGGAAGGAAAAATATTGCTTTGTATTTCCTGTGAAAATGACCCTAAGGAAAATGTTTACTTTCTATGGCCCCATCTATGCCGAGCACAGATGGCAATGTTTTGAGGCATTTCCACCAGTTCCCAGACCTCTCTATAACCCTGGCTTTGGCTGGTTTGTCTTTTTGTCTTCCTAAAGCCTTCTTCCCGCATCTGTGTTCACCTGGGGTGCTGGAAAGGTTTGTGGTGGCATCTGTGGGGCCAGGCCTTGCCTGGACTTCTCCCCTTCTCTCTGGATGCTGAACGCTGACCCTCTCTCCCACTGACGTCTTTTACCAGATACAGTCCACCTGCACACTTGTTCCCCTTCACCATCATATTTTTTGGGGTCCTCTTAGTTTCAACTTTTCAGTGATTTGTCCCCTCAAACACGGACACCCATTCTCCCCAAGTGGCTGCCGTCTCTCCCACCCAATGAGGAGGCTGTTGTTCTCCTCACTCCTCAAGGTGGGCTCCTCTCAGCTTCCCTGTGAGGCAAGGGACCAAGGCGCACTCACCGTCAGGATGCTCTGGGGCTCCGTGATGTCTTCATTCTGGGAAGAAAGGGGGTGGCAGGGATGGGTGTGAGTGGAGGGCAGGTCCGTGGGCGACGGAGGAGCCTGGGGGAGGGTCAGAGGTCATCCAGGGTCACCAGCCTCCCACCGCCTGGGCAGGAGCCCGTGCTCACCAGCGACCAGATGCGCATCCACAGTTCGCGGGACACCTTTTCCAGCATCTCCGGGCACTCCAGGCACACAGCTGTGAGGAACCTCATGGCCGACAGGCTCCCTGCAGGCGGCGGCGCTCAGAGACCCCCTCTCAACTCACCCGGCGTCCTGCTCGCCCCCTGCCCTGTATTTCCCACCCTCTCCTGCTCGCCCAGCTCTGACCCTGAGGCTCTGCATGGCAAGATTCCACAGTCCCCTTCTCTGGAGCCCCATCTTCCTGGCCCTGTTCTCTCAGACTCCTCCGCCCTCCACCGATTCCCCTATCGTCACCTTTTTCGAAGACCACAGAGAAGAAATCCTCGGGGACCTGGACGGGAACTTGGAAGTGCTGTCGCAGTCGCCTGAGGTCGTTGACCATGTACAGCGCTTTGCGGGGAAGCTGGGCGGGCGGCCGGTTTCCTGCAGGTAGGATGTGGGACACGTTGGTGAGAAAGACCTAAGTGTTCGGGGCTGGGGGACCCCAGCCTGGGCTTGACTCAGCTGCCGGCATGCTCCAGTCTACCACTGTCCCCGCGCAGGGCGCCGCCTACCGCTGTCCTTCATGATCCCGGCGATGTAGCTCGGGCGCAGCTGCAGGTCCACGTTCCATACATGCTGGTAGCGGCACAGCACCTGCGGGTGGGGTGGGGGGAGCGGGAACAAGGGGGGGTGACTGCCAGGCCAGGGACAAAGCCGCACTGAGGGGACGGGCCCTAGGGATCCCTAGATTGTTCGTTTGGAAGGACAAACTCTCTCCATGTTTGCAAATCCGCTCCACCAGGGGCGCTCGCCCCGCTGCTCCTGAGCCTGTTCCTATGCCCCCTACCCGCAAAACTGACGCTGGGCCCGAAGTGGCGGGTCCTGGACTCTCCTTGACTCTTACGGGGTGTCCCCCCTCCCGGCTTCCAGACCACCATGGGAACGCTGCCGCAGCGGAGCGCGAGCCCGGCGCGACTTGGCCCTGGTGGAAGACAGCGACCTTTGGCCCGCTCCCTGCTTGGCCGAGGCCGGGACGGCGCCTGACCACGGGGCCCATCCCCGCCCTCCTCGGCCTGCAACCCCGCGTCACCTCGAAACTCAGCCACGAGTAGGGGGACAGCACGTCGTAGTAGAGCTCCACGATCCGCGCCAGACGCCCCATGCTGCGCGCCGCCTGCGCGGAAGGTCACGCCTCCTGCGCGGGGCGGCTCCGGGACAACCGATTAGCCCGGCCTACCCCGAGCCCGCCTGTCGGTTCCACCCCCGGCCCG